CCTGACTGTGTATGAGAAGTAAAATTTCAAATTGATCAAATACATAATGGCACCTATTATACTGGACCAGGCTTACAGCTTGTATAAGAAAAAAAGGTATTTTAAATATGCTTTTCTGAATTAGAAGAGGTATTACTTTCTTTTGTCATAAAATTTACTAAACCAGTACCTTTATTACAAGTAATAATTGCAATACAGGGGTAATACATGTGGTGAACTGTTGATTTTAGTTTCCTATCTGGAACATAAAACACTGACCTTTGTTCTTAAGTTGCTAATGTGAGATCATGACTGAATCTCAACAGTGTAATATTTAAATGCTTATCAGAAGAAACAAGAGACAAGAATCACTTGAGGACTGTAAGCGAGGCTGTGACTGAAATAAACCAGCTTCATCCTTACTCTGGTCCCAAATCATCTCCAGCCTGGACTGACCTTAAACCCTCTGTACTGTGTGTGTCTGGGACTGCACAATTACTCCGACAGGATACAAACTGTTTTCTAAATCACAAGGGGCTCAAACCTTTTAGAGCTGACAAATATAATCCTCCTCAATTGGATATTTTTCTGTGCTGTAAATCTCAAGCTTATAAATCAAAATGTATAATGGAGTTAAGCTTTTAATACTCCTAAACAGCCAAATCACAAACACAAAGAGCTTGTTTTCATTGCCCGAGTTAAGTTATTAGTTTCTTAATACAATAACTCTAAAAATATTGAGCATAAAAACTCAGTTTGTCAAAGTTGTGCAGCCCCTACTGACACGCCCAACCACATTAATGTAACATGGTTTGCTGTCTGCCTGCATTACTATTGTGACTCTTTTCTCTTTTTTCTGTAGTGCACGCTGTGGAAAGTAAGTCCATCCTTTTTTGCAGATTTTATTTTTTTTATTCTTTTGAAGAACAGCTTTAATGCAGTTTATTAGCCTGGTTATTGTTACAATAAATAGTTGCACATAATGAAGAACACTGCTCAAAAAAATGTGGGGAAAACACATTAACTAAAGACACCCTGAAAAACAAAAGTGAAAAAGGCTCAACCATTTTTCCAAAATCAAACCCAGGAACCAACACATCAGCATGAGGTCTGACAATGGGTCATACCTAAGGACAGTCAGGGTGTTTTTGCCTAACCTGTAGAGCTCTGTGCGGCTTTTCTGGGCCCTTTCCATATTTGCCACGTGTGCTTAGCGTGTACTTGCTCTCATCTGTGAAAAGCACAGGCCACCTGTGATGGGTCTGCCAATTATGGTATTTTATGGCAAATGCCAGTCAGGCTCCACGGTGCCAGGTAGCCTGTTTTAGATTGCCTGGCTAGAGACATTCAGACCAGTGCCATGCTGGAGGTCATTTTTTTTTTAGCTCTGGCTGTCATCATCCTGCTTCATCACAAAGGAGCCGACACCGGTTCTGCTGATGAGTTAAGGATCTTCTATAGTTCTGTCCAGGTCTCCCAGAGTAACTGCTTGTCTCCAGGAATCCCCTTCATGCTCTTGAGGCTGTGTTGGGAGACGGTCTTCTGGCAGTGGCATGTATTAATGAGCCATCCTGGAGGAGTTGGGAGTACCTGTGCAACCTCTGTAGGGTCCAGGTAGCGCCTCATGCTGCCAGCAGTGATGCTGACTCTAGCTAAATGCAACACTAATATAACAAAAAACTGTCAGAAATGAAAAAGATGGGGAAAATGCTAGTGTCCTCCACCTGTAAAACCATTCTTGTCTTGGATGTTGTCTCATTGTTGCCCCTCTAGTGCGCCTGTTGTTAATTTCATTAAAACCAAAGCAGCTAAAACTGGAGTTTTACTGACTCGATGATGTTCTCCGATTAAAGAAGTGTTCCTTTAATTTTTTGAGCAGTGTACTTACTATAATTAAGCAAAGTGATAAAAAAGCAGAAGCTAAAAACACAAGTGTTGGATTTCAAGGGGAGTGTTGCTGATGGGTGTTGGGGAGTCCTGCTGCATTTGTGTAAAGCCTTTTGTTACTTCTAAGGGGACCTATTATGCCTTTTCTGATTGGCTGTCATACACACACACATACGTGTGAGTGTGTGTGTGTGTGTGTGACAGTATATACTGCTCCACTGGTGGACGCTCTTATTAAACATGGCTGAACTTTAAAATAATGAGGTCAGCACACAAGTAATGGTGTGAGACAAAAGATCCGCCTTCTAAACACTCAGTTTCACCTTTTTCCCCCCTACTGGCTTTGTGTTTAGAAACGGGGGATGTCCCTAATATAGTCCTTTTACTTTAGTTGTGAGCACAACAAAGTAGGCTTACAGGGAGCAGGAAGGGAAAACTTCAGAGAGAAGGCGAACTGAGGAGTTGCACTCAGTATAAGATGAATTATTTTTGACTGTAAATCATGCAAAACTACTGCAGTAGAGTCAAAGAAAAAAAACACATGGAGCAGGAATAAAGCAGAATCGGCTCCCTTTAAGTCAGCATCATCTTTAAAGTTTGAAAATGGAAAGATTGTGTAGGTTCAACATAACTTGACTTCTGTAGACTGCTCTTCTTCTTTGCTTGATGATCGAAGCTCCAAGTTACATTGTGTATAATAATGGCAAGCATCTGTGGACCTAACATTTCTGGTCTCTGTGCTGTTTTGGTCCCCTGACTGTGTATGAGAAGTAAAATTTCAAATTGATCAAATACATAATGGCACCTATTATACTGGACCAGGCTTACAGCTTGTATAAGAAAAAAAAGGTATTTTAAATATGCTTTTCTGAATTAGAAGAGGTATTACTTTCTTTTGTCATAAAATTTACTAAACCAGTACCTTTATTACTGCACATACAAGTAATAATTGCAATACAGGGGTAATACATTACTGCTAAGCATATGGTGAACTCAAACCTTTGGCTACACTAAGTTTGCCCTGATCAGCTTCTGCACTGTGCAGCTGTCACTTGTTTGTGTGATTGTAGTTCTTCCAAAAAGGTGACGAGTTTGTCTGTGGAGCCATTGTAGAACTTGCTGCTTGTCAGTCCCTCTAAATCCAACCTCCTTACCATAAAAGTGCCCTAAATTTATCCAATTTTAGATACTCCAGTATTTGACGGATATCTACCAACTCTGGAATGAACTTTTGTGCCAGGGAGCCACAGATTCATCCACAAATTGAGTCAAACAGCTGAACAAAGGGGCACTACTCAATCACACAAGCTGATTTGAACACATTTTATTTACTACACATGGCCTGTATTTGCATTTTTTTTTACTTTTTAGTAAGTGATTTAAAATGGTTTTGTTTCTTTTGCAGTACACGACCTGCAGAGTTTTGGCTTGGACAATGTAAGTAACATATTTTCTTGATCTTTTCTCATAATACATACTGCAAGTAT